AATCATTGACTTTTATCCACCCTGGCTGCCACTCACCTTTGTGACTAGCTTCAAAGTTAAGTTTCCTCCTGCCTGCAGCACATTGACAACATTCTTTGCACTTCTCAGTCTAGGTGCACAGATTTTGCCTAGAGCTTGGGTACTGCCTTTCTAACCGGTATAAATAAAGCGTTGCTGCATATTGTGACATGTCAGGAATTATTTCATACTGTCAGACTTGTAAAGTTACCAATAGATTCAAAAGATTCACTTTAACAAAAAAAAAAAACCATGGTCATGGTGTAGCTATGGTCAACGCCCTCCTCATCTGTTGATGACACATGGGTGACTTTGCTGCTAGTGATCCTGCCACTCACAACTCTTGTGACTAGAGGGGCTCCTTCCCACCAACAACGGACCTAGGACTAATGTGACCCCCCCTCTTGGGTTTACAAGGAACCTTTTCCCCAAAAGGGTTATATCACTTTCCTGGGTACTTGGGTAGCTTTGAATTATTCTAGCTACCATTTCCATGCAATTAGGGCTGGAGGGACAATTTCTAGGACCCCTGGCATACTGCGCATAGTGGAACTATGTGTAAGGGGTGAATTCCAGCATATGTGGGGTTAAGAAACTGTATTTTCTGTTACAGGTTTCCTCACATCAACTATTGTTTGCTGTAAATAGGTTTAGGTGATAAGGTTTTACATTGTTTAATCACCTCCAGAGTCCAGACTGCTAGGTGCCAGGAAGGAATCCATTGTTTTCTCATGTTTGTTTATTTAATGTAATTTTCTCCTGGGACTTTTAATGTGGGCCATACCTGTCTAGGGGGAAAGTTTTTATGTATAAATGCTGTGCTGTTTGTTAATAAAGTCAGTCCTGTTTTACTCCAACATTGGTTCTGTTCGATGCTTGGGGTAAATTTGCTATATTCTGGTTCCTGAGTGGAGGAAGCTGTACTTTGGCAGAGATACCCAGTCGGGGTGTCAGGCAGTCCATCACAGTAAGTATCGCTAAGAGGCTGCCTGTTTTGTCTCTCTGCTAGATGTTGCTCCCTTTCCTAGTGATCAGTAGTGTTCAGCCAGCAACAGAGGCACTACTCGCATCTGGCTACAGAGAGAGCTATTCCATAGGAACACACCACAAGTCTTTGTAGCCATCCTTCCACTGGTGATTTGTCTCTAGTGGTGGAATCACCCATGTGTCATCTACCTAAGTGTACATGAAGCCAGAACTGGGATAGCATTTGGTTAATTTCTCTGGCACAATTTTTGTATCATCTTGAAGGAGAGATATAGCCAAAGTGCAGTTTGGTCTACACTCCCGTGTTCCCTTTTCAGCCGACTGCGGGCTAAAGCCCACTTCTGGCTGACATCGCAGGGCCGGTTCAGGCTCTGAAAAGATCTCGACCATGTAGTTGTGGGATCCACCCAGAAGTCTGGACCAGAACCTGGCTCAGCCTCTCAGCAATCCACTGAAAGCTTGAACCAGCCCCTTCCACCCCCTCCATACCCTGTCGCTCCAGTGAGTGCTGGAGAGGCAGAGCAGAGAGCTGGTGACTGGCAGTCATGGCTTTCTGTTAAGAGAGGAGGGCAGTACTGAACAATCAGCTGTCTTTGATTGCACAGTTCTCAGTCTTATGCAGCTCATAGATGGGGAGAAAACCGGCCGATTTTTCTTTAAAAAAAACGAAAAATCGGTCGTTCAAGTGGTCGACGTTACCAGGAATGGTAAAAAAAATCGGCCCATTTTCATCCCGTCTACAGCCGGCAAAAAGTGTCCCTGCAGAGAGCTCCACTATTTCTTTGACAGTGCTTTGACATTTATAGCGACTGCAACAATGTATCTATTTGTATCCATTTTGGATACAGATGTTTTTATTCGGAAACAAAAAGATACATTGTTGCAACCGCTATAAATGTCAAAGCACTGTCAAAGAAATAGCGGAGCTCTCTGCAGGGACACTTTTTTGCCGGACTGGAATTCTTCTTCTTCTCTCTTCCTCTTCCTCTTCATCCTCTTCCTCTTCTTCCTCTTCCTCTTCATCCTCTTCTTCATCCTCTTCCTCTTCATCCTCTTCTTCATCCTCTTCTTCATCCTCTTCTTCTTCCTCTTCTTCTTCCTCTTCTTCTTCTTCCTCTTCTTCTTCATCCTCTTCTTCTTCATCTTCTTCATCCTCTTCTTCTTCATCCTCTTCTTGTTCTTTCTTCTTCATCCTCTTCTTGTTCTTCTTCTTCATCCTCTTCTTGTTCTTCTTCTTCATCCTCTTCTTGTTCTTCTTCTTCATCCTCTTCTTCTTCTTCATCCTCTTCTTGTTCTTCTTCTTCATCCTCTTCTTGTTCTTCTTCATCCTCTTCTTGTTCTTCTTCATCCTCTTCTTCATCTTCTTCATCCTCTTCTTCTTCTTCATCCTCCTCTTCTTCCTCTTCTTCCTCCTCTTCTTCCTCTTCTTCATCCTCTTCATCCTCTTCTTCCTCTTCTTCATCCTCTTCATCATCATCCTCTTTTTCTTCATCATCATCCTCTTTTTCTTCATCATCATCCTCTTTTTCTTCTTCATCCTCTTTTTTTCTTCTTCATCCTTTTTTTTTTCTTCATCCTCTTTTTCTTCTTCATCTTCATCATCCTCTTCATCCTCCTCTTCACCCTCTTCATCCTCTTCTTCACCCTCTTCATCCTCTTCTTCTTCTTCTTCTTCTTTTTTTTCTTCTTTTTGTCTTCCTCTTGCAGGTCACTGCTCATGCGCAGATTTTTTTATCGGTAAAAAGATCGGCCGATTTACCCATAATTGCAACGAAAATCGGCCGATCGGCAAAATCGGCCGATCTTTTTCCAACTTTACCAATAAAAAAAATCTGCCAAAATACCGAAAAACGGGCAAACAATTAACCCACTAACGATCCAAAAATCGGACGATTTTATTTTCGGCCGAAAAATCGGCCGATTTTCGACCCATCTATGGCCTGCATTAGAGCCAGCGGGGAAAGATGCAACTGTTCCTGCTGGAGAACACATTGATTACTGCTAGCAGTTATAATAGCCACTAGCAATAATCACTTGTAAAATCAGATAGGCTTTCCATTCTGCCCATACATGGTTCGAGTGAGATTTGAACCGTTGATACCAGACCAAGTGTTCCTGTTGAGAGACTTCACCTCTATTCCTGTTGCAGTCACAACTCAAAATTTTGGATTGGTCCTCAATTCCAAACAATTTGAAAATATCTCTCCAGTAAGAACACAAAAACCGATACAACCTGACAGGGCTTCTACCCTTCCCCATTCTATCTAAAATGACCAAGAAAAAGATTTGGTTTTGGGTAGACTTTAAATATCATAACAGACTTCAGATGCAGCCGCCGGTAAAACATTTAATCATTGATCTCTGCACTGATTCTGTTAGCGCACATATTGTAGAGAACTCCGCACCTTCTACACAGTATGGACTGTGAAGCTGGGAATATAAAGGAAGCAGTGTGCAGTACTTCAAACCTGCGTTTTAGTTGGACAGGCTGTGTTTGTGGCCAGCTAAATAGCTATCTTGGCTGTGTTGTATCCAGCTGAAACTAGCATCAGGATGGACTTTACATTACCTGCTCAGAAGTTTTTAGTTTATTTATGAATGGGAGCAAAGCCAAACGCCTCCTGGAGGGTAATTGCAACTAATCACATGGGAGCAGAGGCTTTCGCGGCTTAACGTGCCTATGCATTATTTAGTATACCTGCATGTATGATGCCACTCTGGCAGCGCCTTCATTATGACAAATAAGAATTTAGTTTAGGATAGAAATTCTAATCCAGGGTTTAGTCAGCTGGAAGACAGGCTCACAGGAGCTTTTTATCTATATTGCGTGACAGTGTGTTGTACTAGAAAGCATTTTGTATCTCTCACCGATGTCTGGTTTGTTTGTCTCTTGTTTTAATTTGCTTAAGTTTTTAAAAAAACTAAATTCTGTAGATCCACTTGGGTATACAGTATTTAAACAAACTGCTCTAGAAAGTTGACAAAAAAATCCTTTAACTGTTCATTCTTTTAAAAATCGCAAATATATTTTCAGCTGAACTGCAATCGTAACCTGAAATGAGTGTTTCTGTTTAGTAGTCACTTGCAGCTACAACTGGAAATCAGGCTTATAGTGGGAGTGAACGATTGTATACAGATGCAGGGACAGTAGATTTGGGTAGTGTTGTGACATACAAGCAACTTTATAGCCGATGCAAATTTCCCTCTGTTTTCATATAGAGCAGAGGTCCCTATACCATGGACCGGTACCAGTCCATGGCCTGTTAGAACCAGGCCCGCACAGCAGAAGGTGAGTGGCTGGCAAGCAAGGCTTGATCTTTACTTCCAGTGGCTCGCATTACCGCCTGAGTTCTGCCTCTTGTCAGATCAGTGGCAGCATTAGATTTTCAATGGAGCATGAACTCTGCTGTAAAATGGACATGCACGAGATCTAGGTTGGGCACTTCTTGAAAATCTAGTGTCTCGTGATATGAGGAGGGGATGCAAGTGCTGGGGAGAGGCTGCCAATACAGATCATTAGCAGACTGCACAGAGACCCCTATGAAAAACTGAAAACTATTCATCCTGAAAAAATGGTTTCATCCCGAAGCTATACTCCAGTCTATGGAAAAACTGGGTTCCACAATAATGGTCCCTCCTGCCAAAAAGGTTGAGGACCACTGAATTAGGCCGTAGAAGCCATAAACAAGAGTGTGGTCCTTCATCCAAGGTACATGACTAAAGTTGAGCTACTCTTTAAAGGCTAACTTCCATCAGGACCATCTTGCAGTGTGGATCAAGTACTGGCTTTTTATATAAAGAGTGGAACGTAGTCGCTTTAGTCATCCACTGTCTCCTGCATATTTGAGACGCATGATCATTCTGCTTTTAACATTTGCCCTAGCCACCTTTAGATGTGCTTACTATTGCCCCTCCTTATAACTACAGCTGTGCCGACCTGAAAACTGGAGTGCACCTCGGATTCTCAAAGAGTTTCGAAAAAATTGTTAGGTGATGTAGCCTCCCTGGAGGTATTCCCGAGTGTAGCTCGGGGTAAAGTTTCAGTACCACAAGCGGTAACCCCGAGCTACACTCGGGCTTACCATGCGGCGCTGCTCTGGGACCTCTTCTTCACTTACCTTGTCTTGCACTCCCGCGATGTCCCTCCTGCAGTGTACCCAGCAATGTCCTCCGATGGATGCCGGCATCTGTCTTCTGGGTTCCGTCCCCTGCGAGTGTCGGGACGTACGGGGAGGGAACTGCGGGAAATTTGAAAATGACAAAAAATGACATTCACTATTTTCACTAAAATCACATAGTAAAATATTACTGTATCAAACCATTTCACATACATTTTGTCCCGAGTGCTTTGTCCTGTGCCCTGCCTGCATTTTTACTGTTCTTTCTGCCTGGAAACTGATAATTGTCCATGACGTCCAACAAGCGCCCCTTTATGTCAAAAGTGGTTTTAGACCAGCTGGAGAACAGCGATAGTAAATCAGAACCACTTGCAGAATTGAGTGATGATTCGTGGGAGAAATTCGTCGTCAGACACTGAAAACGATTTTGCGACTTTGCTCAGTGATGTGCGAACTTGGCGCTCTATTTCAAATTTTAGTGTTTATGGTTTGATTATATTATTGAATTAAATTTATTATATTATTATTTTTTATGATTATTTATTAAATTATAATTTATGATTTCGTGTTTCAAATTGTAACATACCTGGGATGTTTACTCTTGTTCGGACAGATTTCAGTGAGTTATTCCTAAAAATTACAGGCCTACAATAAAAAAAATATATATTTCCATGCAATTAGGGATTAGAACACTTGTCAGGTTTTCATCTCCTAGATTGTAAGCTTGAAAGAGCAGGGCCCTCGATCCCCTCATGTTTTGCATTGTATTGGTATTGTTCTGTCACATGGTCTGTCCCCCTTTATAATGTACAGCGCTGAGCGAACTATTGGCGCTTTATAAATACTGTATAATAATAATAATAATAATAGCAGTCTGTGCCACCCTCTCTAGTTGTTCTTTTTACTGTTATCAATGTGAACGTGAACGAGGGGAGATATTCCAATGGGGACATTGGTTCTAGTGACAGCCAGGAATTCCTTCACTTTGGAGGGATATCCTCTCACTTCCTGTTTTGGCTATAGGTCAGGAAGTGAAGAGAGGACTCCCCACTGGGACACAGATGGCAAAACAGTCCTAATGAAAGGGGCAGTTTTGAACCCCCGAAACTTTTTGGGTACTGTTTTGGTTGTCCCCTTGGCCTTTCTTGGAATAAAGTCATATCTGGACCTTTTAGCAGTGGTGTGATACTTCAGTTTACACTTTTGCAACTGTATACAGCTTGGACCCAGAATTCAGGGTATACTCTGAGATGAACACACAACCTGTGCCTGCATTTTATCTGTAATCTTAGGTTATACTCTTTGGTGGACTTGCCAGGATGGACATCTCCAGCAAATAACACTTTTTAGCTGGGGTAGGTGGGTCTGTTGTATGCATGAGCATATTGTGTTATCCTACTTGCTTTGGTGGTCCCATTAAACCCGATCTCTTCTGGAAAAAGCTTATATATGTTTTCATCTATCTCAGCTAGTTATCAGACACATTAAAAATCTTTTTGGAGCTTTTAAATGTGCAGGGAAATTAAGCTATCAGATCCTAGTACTTTGGGGTCTGGAATTTTAAAGCAGCGGAACAGTTGGAATAGATGAGATTGTAATTTGCAGAGTGCACTTGCCTGGCCAAGTTATAATCGCCCTTTAATTGGATTTATCCTGCCAGTTAAATATTTTCTCCAGTTTAACTCTACCTTTGTGTCCACAATGACAGTTGTTCATGGTGCTTTTGTCAGAACAGCTTTCTTTTTTTGTTTTCTGAATAGCTGTCAGCTGCCTATATAGGCAACAAGTTGCTGAAACAGCCGATAACTAAGGAGTAGAGAAGACTAATGACAAGTGTACCGTCGGGACTGTTGTCAAGCGTTAAAGCTTTAACCAAGAAAACGTGCACCTGGATGTTGTCCTACTTATTACAGTCTCCTGACAATCATTCTATCTTTTGCATTATGCTCTCCTGACAAAACTGAATTGCACAGTAAGAAGTATGTAAATGCAGTGACCTATAGCAAATAATCACAATTTTTATCACTAAAGTATGTCTGAATCATAACTTTGTTTTCATTTTGTAGAGTAGGGAAGGGTTACAATGTTGTCAGTTTTTATTTATTTCCTATTAGATTGATTTCCCTTCAATTCCTGTCCTGTACACTCAACAGGAAGTGAGATGATATTTTTCTGCTCTAGTGTCAACTCAAAATTTTGGATTTAGCCTTCCTTCCATTCCATTTGACATTGCTGATCAGGACAATTAGAAAGGCCAGATCTCTCTAACAGGAACACAAACGGCAACAGAAATAAAAGGGGTTTTAATCCCTCTCCACTCTATTCAAATCTTTAAAAATATTTGCCTTTAGATATTCTTTAGTGTTCTTTTAAAGTGGTGCTCCAGTCTCCTGTGTCAAAAATAAGTCAGCAGCTACAAACACTGGAGAACTTCCACTTCCGATCGCTTAGGCCAGTAGTCTCCAAACTGTGGCCCTTTGCTTGCCTTTAGCCGGTCCTTAGAGCATTTTTCCTCCATCTGATACGAGACACTATTCCTCCCACTGACACCAACAATGGAGCATAATTACTACCACTGGTACCAAAAATGGGACACTATTCCTTCACCTAATACTGTAGATGGGGCATTGCTTACTCCCACTGACACTAGGACAATTTCTAGCCCCCCTGGCCACAGTCTCCAGCCCCCCAAAGTCTGATGGACACTAAACCGGCCCTTTGATTACAAAGTTTGAAGACCCCTTGCCTAGGCGATCGGAGCGAAAGTGGGAGCCAATTACCTGTCATAATTGGTTATCTGCTCCCCCCAAGGTGACATTTCACAAACAAGAGCAGGGGAAGGAGGCCTTAAAATAGAACTTCCCTTTTGAGTGGAGCTCCACTTTAATTACTGTAAAATTTATTGTAATTTTTTTTACTGTTTTCACATTTCTCCAGTCTTACTGTACCACTTTATTATTATTGAACTACATACACAGTTTTGAAGTACATACATATTTTTCCTCCAATGGCTGTCTGTAGGCAGGATCAGGTGGCTTTCTCAATAAAAAAAAAAAAAAAAGCAGCTAGACAGTAGAAGGAAAAGCAGCATACTGATGAGTTCATCTCTCATTTTGCCTTCTCTTCCAATCAGCATGCTTGGTTTGTCTATTGTTAAATGTACCTATTTTTAAAATAATTAGCTATATTGACTTGAATTTTTATACATGCATTTCCTATATATTTGATGTAGTGTACTACTATTTAAAGGATTCATTAAAAGAATGGATTTTATTATACTTTGACTCTCCTCACGTGTGGTGCAGTCACTGTTTGCATTCACATGCACATCCTACATGCATGTTTGTATTTGCGTGTGTACACAGGGCAACAAGATTGTGTTTTAACAATTTTTTTTTGTTATTTTTAGTTACTTTTTAACCACTTGTCCCCCAAAAGATTTACCCCCCCCTTCCTGACCTGTCCATTTTTTGCTATACGGCACTGCATTACTTTAACTGAGAATTGTACGGTCATGCAATGCTGTTTTCTGAATTAATTTTATTGCTATCATAACAGGGCTAGCAACCCCCCGCATCTGTGCATTTCCACGCTCATTGATTCAAGAAACACATGGTCCCCACTTTGCTCCAACTTGCCATTTTGATACCGTTTGCCATGGGCAGCAGTTTAGAGTACCGTAAAAGTGATCAGGTGGCTCTACGGTAGGCTGGATCACGTTTTCTGAAAATCTGAGACCTAGCTGAAAAAAAGTACCAAGCTCATGACTGCTGCAGCCTGTAAGTTTGCTTTTTAACCACTTGACGGCCAGGCCTGCGAACAGCAAGTGGTTAATAATAAAGGCTAAATGTTTTAAAGGGTTCAGCTTTAATTCCCAATATTATTGCTGGTACAGTGAAACTGCATCTCTTCAATAGAAATGGGCTTGGGTGCCCTCCAAATTCCTCTCTAGCCATATTCTGAACTTAAACTCCTTTTTTTTTTTTTTTTTAATTCCAATGCCCTGTTGGCTGAGTCATTCCCACTCCGAAGCCCGCCTCTTTGTTTACGTGAGCTGGAGGGTGGATATGACTAATTGGAGTAAAACAAGAGAGTTCGGCTAGAGAGGAGTTCGGAGGATGCCTGAGCTCATCTCTACTCTTCAGTAGCTGCCTGAGCTCATCTCTACTCTTTAGTAGCCGCCTGAGCTCATCTCTACTCTTCAATAGCCATCTGAGTTCATCTCTACGCTTCAATAGCTGCCTGAGCTCATTTCTACGCTTCAATAGCCGCCTGAGCTCATCTCTACTCTTCTATAACCGCCTGAGCTCATCTCTACTCTTCAATAGCTGCCTGAGCTCATCTCTACTCTTTAGTAGCCGCCTGAGCTCATCTCTACTCTTTAGTAGCCGCCTGAGCTCATCTCTACTCTTTAGTAGCCACCTGAGCTCATCTCTACTCTTTAGTAGCCGCCTGAGCTCATCTCTACTCTTTAGTAGCCGCCTGAGCTCATCTCTACTCTTTAGTAGCCGCCTGAGCTCATGTCTACTCTTCAGTAGCCGCCTGAGCTCATCTCTACTCTTTAGTAGCCGCCTGAGCTCATCTCTACTCTTTAGTAGCCGCCTGAGCTCATCTCTACTGTTTTCAGTAGCCGCCTGAGCTCATCTCTACTCTTTAGTAGCCGCCTGAGCTCATCTCTACTCTTCAATAGTCGCCTGAGCTCATGTCTACTCTTCAATAGTCGCCTGAGCTCATCTCTACTCTTCAATAGTCGCCTGAGCTCATCTCTACTCTTCAATAGCCGCCTGAGCTCATTTCTACTCTTCAATAGCCGCCTGAGCTCATCTCTACTCTTCAATAGCCGCCTGAGCTCATCTCTACTGTTCAATAGCCGCCTGAGCTCATCTCTACGCTGCAATAGCCGCATGAGCTCATCTCTACGCTTCCGTAGCCGCCTGAGGTCATCTCTACTCTTCAATAGCCGCCTGAGCTCATCTCTACTCTTTTCAGTAGCCGCCTGAGCTCATCTCTAGTCTTCAATAACAGCTTCTGTCTGGTGCTTCTCACATAGATGTTTGGATTCATGATTGCCTGTAGCTAATTTAGCTAAAGTAAAAATCTGAACTCAGACTGAACAGTGAGATGTAACTGTGCAAAATTATTTATTTGTCTTTGCTCTGCCTTATTGATTATGCTTTTGACTTTGTTGCAGAGCCACAGAGAATCCCTCCAGGAG